ATCCCCTGAACCTAGAACAGAGCCTGGCATACAGTAGGTGCTCAGCATTTAATGAGAAATGACTCTTGAGGTGGGGACGGTCAGCATGAGAGCCCCCTTTGCTGGGTAAACTGAGGCACAAGGGGGTGGCCGACATCCCTGAACTATCCAGTCTCTCCCCAGCCACTAGAGGGCACAAGCTGTTTTGGCCACACGCAGTGCCAAGGCTCAGGAGCAGAGCTCATCCCCAAGGCAGTGTAGTGTTGTAGCAGGTGCAATGATAGGGAGCTGAGATAGACTAATGCGGGTAGGGGTACCCGGGGGACATGTGGCAGAGGGCCTCGGGGCACTGAGCTGGGCATCTCGATCCAATTGCTGTGCTCACAGGAGGGAGCCAGGCAGATTTTGGTTCAAGTGCCAGCTCCTTGCAACCCACTGGGGGGCCTTAGTCAGGTCATTGGGCTCATGGGGCCTCTGTTTTCGCAACTGTAAAATGGGAAACTACTCAGAGTGCAAAGAGAAGGCTCTGGACCCAGGCTGAATCAGCATCCTAACTTGGCCCCTGCTGAACTGGGTGACCTGAGAGGCTGCTGGCCCTCTCTGAGCCTTGGGGATGGGGCAGGATGCTCCCTTGGGGCCAGAATGCCCCCATCTTACCGGAAATGCCACCTCTGCCATCCAGAATGTCTCGGGGGCCCTCCTTGGTGACAGGCAGGTAACAGGTGGATCGGAAGATGCCACCTTCCCCCTCGGTGGCCTCAGCCCCACCCTCAATGTCCTGCCTCGGTGCTGGGCCAGGCAGTCTCTCAGGGCCGCGGGGACGGTCCGGGGCGGCCAGGCCCCCTGCCAGGGCCCCATCCATGGGTGCTTTCTGTGTGGCTCCCCTCAGCTTCCAGGCTGGCTCAGTGGGACATTGTGGGCCTGGGGGCAGAGAAAGAGGTGCTTAGCAAAGGTAGCAAAGAGGCCCTGCCTGCCTCAGTTTCCCCTCCCTCAAAGTTCCAGATCTCAGCCTTGCTGTTCAGTGTTTCAGTTTACCTCCCAGCAACAACCACCCCCCCGCAAAAAAACAAACAAACAAAAAAACTCCTATCAAGTCAATTCCAACTCATGCCAACCCCATGTGTTACAGAGTAGAACTGAGCTCCATAGGGTTTTCTTGGCTGTAATCTTCACGGAAATCCACGGCCAAGCCTTTCTTTCCTGAAACTGCTGGATGGATTTGAACCACCAATCTTTAGGCTAGCAGCTGATTGCAAACCACTTGTGCTGCCAGGGACCCCACCCAGCCCAGGTGAGGTGAATAAATGGCTCCGAGGCTGCATGCACACACTAACTAGGATCGGGGCCAACCTCAGTATGCCTTGGCCCTCCCCCCATCAATAACTCCTCTCTGCACATAGATCCTACACTGCCTCCATTTACCCCATTTGCACACTTGCATACCCAGCATTAACCCTGCCATGCCTCCCTCTTTCACACACAGCTGCACTTTCCCCATTGTGCCCTTGCTTCCCTGCACATGCAGGTCCCACACCTACCTCTGCCCCAGCACCCATCCCAGCCATGTCTACACACCAGCTCTGTACACTGTCTCCAGTCCCCCCATTATTGACCATGCGCTTTTTTCACACAACCCCCGCCTCAGTTTCCCACACCAATTATGCCTGCACTTTTCCCACACTCCAGCCTTCCCCTCACACGACCTGAGGGTCCTCTGGCATTAACCCCTTCACCTCCACACACAGCCTCAAGTGACCCTAGCATTAAGCCCTTCTCTTAGCCTCAACATTTACCCTTATGCACAGCCAACCTGGGGTTCTCCATCCCACCCCACAAGATTGCTCTAGTCCACGGGGCCAACCGTGAGGCTCCTGGTCCAGAAATGAGGACCCCGAGGAGGCTGGGAGGGGGGGCTGTCCTCTCTACCTATAAATACCTTCAAGGTAACGGCGGAAAGTGAAGGGCAGGAATGAGGCGCCCTCCCCAGGGAGAGAGTGGGGAGGCCGGGCCCAGGCAACCGGGGCGGGGCCGGTGCTCCGGGCCTGGCTGCAGGCGCTGCCCTCGGGGCCTGGGGGCTCCCAGGGGGCCCGTCCGTGGGCTGGCAGTCGTGGCAGGGGTCCCTGCCCAGGCCCAGAGAAAGCACCTGCGGGTGCCCACCGGGCAGGCACTGCCAGAGGGGAACAGGCGGGACCGCAACTTCGGAGCACTTTGGCAGCGCTGGGCAGGGGGTTCAGCCCGGACTCCCCCCGAGGGTCGTAGGTAGGGGCTGCGCCGCGCCGGAGAGCCCCTCGGGGGTCTAGGGTCCGGAGGATGCGCCCTCCGCCCGTGCACCTCGGGGCGGGAG